TAGTAAGGGAAAAGGCGCCCCACGAGCCCATAGCGATGAACCAAGTTGTGTTGGTGCTGGTAAGGGTGAAAAAATGAGTTTGAGAGAAAGGTTGAAGAAGTTAGAGATGATGTATCTCGTACTCTAGGATTTGAGAGGGTGCTAGTAACGAAAGTGCTAGTAAAATTGAAGTTAACAAAGAGAAGCAGTCCAACCAGGAACCTGGTTCCTTGGTCCAGTTGGACTGAAATTGTGAAGGACGGTAAATGATAGATAGAAAAGAAGAAGTGAACAAAGAAGATGCCATTGATAATTTACCTCTATCTAATAGGGAAGAACAATTACAAGTATCCACCGATAAAGGTATTTCAGTTGCTAAGGAGTATGAGAAGAAGATAAAGGGCAAGTTCTGATTAATGGATGAACAAAATTGTTGTGCCTATAGAGATTGAAATAGATTAACAATCTGAAAAAGAATAGGTTCCTTTACTTTGAAAGAGAAAACTAAGGTAGGGACTAGCTCAAAGGAATAAGAAAGATGAAAATAAATCATGAGGTGAAGTTAATATCATGTTTGTGAAAAGAAAAGCTAAACCACTAGGTAAAGAGGCATTGTGATGATTCACAGAAGTAAGATGGAAAGAATAGAATGAGAATATTTATATTGTGCAGAAATAACCATCTTTCAATCAGTGAACCTGGTCCTTAGTCTTTCCTAGACAAGTTCAAACCCAGTCCATTCCGAGTCAAGTCCTATTTTGAATTGCTATCTTTTGTGTTCTTCTGGTTTAACATTCCTTTTTGTGGCATTTGAAGCAGGTTCTTGTTAATTTTGTTAGTTTAGGTCTAAGAGGCTTAATATGGTACATATATATTAATTTTTGTATTCTTGGTTTGATGAGTCTCTTAAGATGAAAAATATCATGGGATTAATGTTTGAGTTCTTAATTTATGTGCATGTTAGTGTAGCCCGAGTGGCCATGCTTGATATTGCTTAATTCTCACTTTTAACTCTACTAATATTTTATTTTTCGATGACGCCAAAAGGGGAAAGTGAAGTATGTGCAATCAATAAAACTGGTTCTTAAGCACTTGGACTAATAAAAGGTGTTGTCGTTGAGTTTTTCTGCAGGTTCTAACATTGAATTATACCTAGCCATCTACAGGGTTGCGATGAATGGAAGGTGAGTCTCTTATACTTGTGCAAACATAGACAACTTGAAGAAGAGTATTCAAATGAAACTAGTTCTTATGCTGAAGATTGATGAATAATCGGGGAAGCCGCTGAGTGATTTGCACATGGGTTTGTCATCATCAAAAAGGAAATATTTGTTGAGCTGAGCATGAAATTATATTTTGATGATTAACAAACCATATCTGAGAACCAGGGTTTCATGAACAGGTTACTAGGCTACTAGACTGTGTACAGGTCTGTTATGTTGTCAATGAAAGAACCAGGTCCCGTGAAGCAGATGTCTGAAGAGTATGTGCTTAAAATGTTTTGATGAATAACTAACAGCTGACAACGAACTAGATCTCGTAAAGATATTTGTTGTGCTGATATACAATGTTATAGATATTTTATGCAAATATCGACAGAACCAGGTCCCTTGAAAACGCTGATCAGAAACTGGAAGCTTATTCCCAGTACAAGACGGTTGAACTGGAATTCAGTTGTAATTTGGATTCCTTGAAGAAATTATTTCGTGGGCTGAAAGTATGGTAATAATTAGAGAAATTCTTGGTCAACAAGGATTCATTAATAATGAGAATACTTGCATGGAAAGAAAAAACACGTGAAGGAGTCTTTTAAGGAAAGTCAAATTCTAATACAAGTCAGATTTCGTAAAGAATTAAATTTCTGTGCTACAAGAAAAATATTAGCAGGAGGTATTTGTGTTGGAATAGGATTCAATAATTATGGAAGTACTTGCATTAAAGGAAAAGGTTTGATGAGTTGAAAATTAATAAGGAAGCCAAATCCTAAAAGGATTCTTTTTCCTAACCGATTTCTTTTAGGTTTTGGAGCCTAAATTGGAGAAGAATTTTTTCCAACCTCATGCCTATATAAAGCACTACATTGCTTCTATTGAAGCTAATGGTACGAAAATACAGATAATCATTCAAAGAAAATAGCATTCATAGCAAGAAGGCGTTTTCAAAGATTCAAGCTGCTCAACTGAAGAACCAGGTCCAGAAGACGAAACTGCTGAAGGTCTTTAGTTGTTTAGGTTGAGTCAATTGTTCTTAATTGTAATCTATTTTGCTTTTGAAAAGTGTAAACGTAGGTGATCGAATTTTGAAGTTTTTTTTCGCTTTCTAAGCTAGAGTTACTTTAGAAAGGGACTGCTACAGTTGAGTTGATTGTAGGGGAAGGGTACTAGAGTTAGTATCTTTGGTTATAGAGTTGTAACCTAAAGCTTAGCTACAATTGGGTTAATTGTAGTGGTAGGGTACTAGAGCTAGTCTCCTTGATTATTAAGTTGTAACCTAAAATTGCTCTTAGAAGTTAGTAAAATTTTGAAAACAAATCCTGTGAGGGTAGGTCGTGGTTTGTTACTCCCTTGAGCAAGGAGTTTTCCACGTAAATATTATTGTGTTATTTATATTTCCGCACTTCACTTTCAATTTTGTGTCAAAATAGTTTATTCAAAGAACCAGGTTCTTTGGCACGCGAAAATGGGGTACGACACATTTCACCCCCTCCCCATCCCCTCTTGTGTCTATGTGCATCCTAAAATAATACAACTATTCATATATCCCCTAATAATTATTCTGATATTGATGATTTATTCAAAAATGTAACAAAATTATCTTTCCGTTTATATAAAAAAAGTTATTTCCAAATAAAAGTATTCAATATTGTTTAAAGAAAACCTATAAATCAATTATTGCTAAAAATATTGAGTTCCTCAAGTTTGGGGCTTGAAACAAGTGCCTTACATAACTTTACCATAGAGTCCACATCGGCTCTATACTCTCCCTTGGTCAAAACTTCCTCTAAAAAATGTCCCCCCTTTTAAAATAGGTTTAGACTTCTTTTTATACGAGTTAGGGATGTGTAGGATCGAAAAACCTTGTCCCGAATGAAGTGAAAAAAAATCACGTCATCCAGCGTTTGAGGGTAGCGCGTCACGCTAGCCCCGCCACTGAAACCTGAAACGTTTTGTAATTTCATTCTTTGCTACGTTTTGCTTTGCATTCTATATCTTATTTCTAACTTGTTTGGCCAAGCGTATTTTGGGCCACAAGTGCTTTTTTGGCTAAAAGCACTTTTGGCCAAAAATTGAGGTGTATTGCCAAGCTTTTGGAAGGAAAAAAAAGTATTTTTAAGGAGAAACAGAAGCCGTGTTTGAGAAGCAGAAAAAAGTAGTTTCCCTCCAAAAGCACTTTTCTGAGAAGCACTTTTGAGAAAAATACACTTAGAAGCAGTTTTCAAAAGCTTGGCCAAATACTAATTACTGTCCAAAAGTGACTTTTTAAATTAATTAGCCAAACACAAACTGCTTCTCACCGAAAATACTTTTTTAAAAAGTACTTTTGAGAAAAGAATTTCTCAAAATAAGCTGATTTTAGAAGCTTGACCAAACAAACTATTCTTTTGTCTTCCACAAGGAGGGACAAACACCAAAAGGTGTCCCACTTTGTCTCCTTATTTTTCATTCATTTAATTTTTTTTTTCTTTCGCGTTTTATTTAATTTTGCTCCAAAAAATCTCTTCATCTTCACACCGCTTTATTCCTACATAGTTAAAATATAATATTAAGCATAAAATAATATAATTAATACTCAAAAGACGATTAAAAGTACTAGAATATGAGGCAATAATGATTAAATATATATCCCCTCCGTTTCAATTTATGTGAACTCATTTGACTGGGCACGAAGTTTAAGAAAAGAGAGAAGACTTTTGAACTTGTGGTGTAAAATGAGGCACATATATTTTGTGTGGCTACAAATCACTGCATAAAGGTAAATTATTTTTAAATAGAGAAATGGATCATTCTTTTTTGTACGGATTAAAAAAAAAATCTGTTCACATAAATTGAAGCGGAAAGAGTAATTTTTTAGGCGAACATCATCGGTACCGGACGAAGGAATGTTAAGCTGTTGTATAGGGACCCATGTCACCAAGCATAAGAATTAACACTGAATTTGTGTTGGCACGGAGTGGTGACATCATAAAATCGCAGTTAAAAGAGGAAGAAAATTAGTAAATGATCAGTAAATAGCTTTGGCTGAGTGGTGAACAGTAAATGAAGGCGCTGCTTCGTGCTTACACATTGTTGGAAGATAATTCCTAGAACGAGTCCTGTTTGACGAATCTGATGCGTTGCCAATTAGCTACACAACCTCAGTAATGTTCTATCTAATGCACTGATAGGATAGCATTTCCTTCACCTTTTATTTTTAATCTTTTAAATAATTATTTCGTTGAGTATTTTAAGTTTTTAACACAGCTTAACACCATTAGTTATATGGATAAAAATTGTACATTTTAACTGATTAAAGGTCAAATATGATCGATTAAATAATACAGATACAATTGGAATAATTTCCACAAAATATTGAAATCACTGTTTCTGCAACTTTAAAGTATGAGAATTTGATTTATTATTTTCCACAGTTTATGGTCGATTTTTTCCAACTGGCTCCTTCATTTTAAAACGCATTTGGAATGTTAACTCAGAGTAAGGACTAAATTTGTAAAAACTCTAATTTTAGTAAGTGGAATTTCATATTCAAATAATTCCGCTTCACTTTAGTTTTCCTTTTTACTTGTGTGTTACTAGAAGGCGAAAAGTTATGTTTTGGGTATAATCTATTAGTCTTGAAAATACAATTAGTAATATCATAGACAGAGATGTCTAATCATCGGCCGAAAAGTGGCTTTCTCCTCTTGTAGTTTCATTCCTTGTGACTGCTCATCAATTTGTTTTTCCCCTTTTTTTGTGCCACAAATTATCAGGTGGTATGTTATATTGGATTATGCTAACAAGCAACCATGTAAAACAGAGATCTAAAGAAAACACTTTTATTCATCAAACACTATATTAACACAAATATATAGTGTTTGTCCACTCACAAATGGTAACAATATAGGGTTGACACAAATATTGGATTATGTTATATCGTTTGCCCACTCACAAATGGTAACAACAATATCAGATAATGTCATCTGAAATGGACTGATCAAGGGTTGATCCATGTATGTGAAATTTTTGTTACTAAAACTATTAACACTAGTTGACTGTAGAAACAGGCAAATGAGTTCATTTATGCATTTCCTTTTCTTCTTCATTCTCTTTAATAGGAACATAAGGAGGCTGAAATCTGCTAAAGACCCTGTAAGCTGAAATCACAGCTAATACAAGGAAACAACAAAGTGTGATGGCATGGATAACCAAAACCAGCTTCAGTCTACTGCAGAATTTTCCATAAGAACTGCAGGCTTCACTCCATGTCACCTTCTGGTCACCATTATAGGCTAAGTAAAGAATTTCCCCAATTGCAGCCAATGATGTAACCATTAAGTATGCTACAATCTGTGCAAAACCAAATGGGAGAACATTATATTAGAGTAAATATGACAACCCCATCTTATTTTATCTATTTTGACCAAGTAAACTTTGACACACCATATCTTCAGGAAAAAAGAAAGTACAGTATTTAAATCAAGAACCAAACTGTAGAAAAAGAGGGAAGAAGTGAAAACCTGGTCAGAAAGAAAGAAGAAGCATGCTTTAGTGACTAAACTCCTGACCCACAAAGATATAGCAGTAAGAAGAGCATATCCACCTGATGCAGCACTAATGACAACCATGTACCTGTTCAAAATTAATTATATTGTTACTTCAACATGCATCAAAAAGGGGAAAAAACATGAAGATACAAATCAATTTTCTCACTTGAGTCCCGTGAGATTGCTGAATTCAATTCTCCCATAACTGCTATTATCCTGTTGGTTGGAGACAGACAGCCATATGGAGGCCACACTTAAGGGAATCACAAACAACCTCAGTAAACAGTCTACGACTTTAAGATTTGATGCATCTTCTCCAAGAAACCCCATCTCTTGCAGTCAAAATAGCAGTGAAATTACAATGTTCATCCCCTACATATATATGTATGGTGAGATGGGGTATGTGTATATGTTATTCTGTTTATTTTTTAATCTCTTTACTTGAAAAAAGAGAAATGAAATGATGGAGAAGAAGCCAGGTAGTTTATCGAGTTTCTCTATAGTGGGAAAAAAGAGAAGAAGTGGGGTGGCTGAGAAGAGAAATCATGGCAAGGGGTGAGTGAGTTGGGTTGGTGATATCTCTCTAATCCTACCAAACAAAAGGCACAATTAAATCCACACGGCTCTTTGGCTTTCTTTTCTGCGTGTAACCACAAATATAGTGGGAAAAAATACCAACCCAGAAAAAAGAAAAGAACCACAAACATAATTTACCAAAAAAGAAAAAAGAAAAAAAAAAACACAAACATAGGCAATGACAAATTTGACTTTTGTCCACATTGTATAGACGCGTGCCTACTTTTATTCCTAAAGAATTCTCAAACACTTGTCCCGACATTTGGGATAATAAGTTGTAACCGTGGGGAGGGGTGAGTTATATTGTTTGCTTTCGGCTTCAGACCCGTGAAAGATGACTTATACGTGTTGTTGGATTTTGTGACTAAGGCTAGTTTGTCTTAGATGGAAATTTGCATATGAATTATTCAGATATTAATTTATTAAATGTAATCTTTTCTTTTACGATTATTTATTTCGCTGAATAGGTCTGATTCATTTATATAGAGGTTTAAAATCACTAAGATAATAAATCTCTCTATTGGATTCTATCTACTACTATTACTAATCAGTAATAACACATAATAGTAGAATTTTGGTAAGCGATATTAATATTTATAGAAGAGAACAAATATATAAATTATTATAATGACAAGTAGTATTATTTTTTATATTTATTACTCAATATTACCATTTACTTATTACTGTATATACATATATACTAAAAAACAAATCGACAAAAGACCATCTTTCACCACATGTCCACCACTATCAATCACCTTCATCACCAACTATTACCACAACGACTATTCCCAAACATCTCCACCACCAATTATCACTTCTAGTGCAAGCCACCAGTTATATCCACCACCGGCTACTATTATCAACCTCCCTCACTTTTTGCTACCAATACATAACATAATCGGCCACTATTATCAACTACCTTCACTCCTTGCTACCAATGCATAACATAATCAGCCACCACTGTACAACCATCGTTCGACAACTACTCCATCAATCACAACCATCACCAACCATAACCTTCACTAACTTTTTTTGAATGCTCGTCAAACACTATTTTTTACAAAACTTTCTCTGATATTTTATGAATATATTGTTTGATTTTTTATTTATTGTCTTCAACATTTAAATAAGTATATGCATTTATTTTGAAAATAGTAACAGAGTATACTTCTATTTATCATTACATCCATGCATCGATAAAAATATGTTTCATCATTCAATTACTCATAAGTCATACCTCAATTTGAAATTTATCTAGGTCCTTGCTATGCTTAAAGATAGCTTTTATTACATCATTATGTGCGTAATCATTCTGTCACATATATGTATTGCAAAAGCAGATTCTTTAATTTCCAGTCTACGTGGCAGTAATATTACACAAGCAAACAACAAAAGGGGGGAAAGTACAAGGATACCACGTGATTGAACCCTGCTACACTTGCTGTTCCCCTTCTCCTATACTTTAATGGCCGTATTCTTGACAACTTATAGTAGTATAAAGAATCAGATAATGCAAGAAAGGTCAAAGTACAAGTCCCTTGTGTGCATATTGTATTAGTATAATTTCGTTATAAGGAAAATGAAAGAAATATTCCTTTGCAGGTCATGTATTTCAGAAATAATATTGTTGTGACAACTTCAATCTCATGAATGAGGATGACATGAAATAATGAACTATGTGCCATAATACATTTAGTTTCACACCAAGGTATCACGTTATAAAAACTGAAACAATCAAACAAAGGAGAAACAAGTAAAGGGGGCAAAGATGAAGTGCCATAAATCATAATCATGTCCCCTGCAAATAAGAACTAGAAAGTCATCCGAGGAAGCTTCACTACATTATGAAAGCAGCAAAGGCTCGTTGATATATAGTTGTTTGCACTTGATTTTACATGTTGATGGATGTACGATTCATACTATTTTACAAGCACTTGGTGCAAACTTCGTTGCAAAAAGAAAGCACATTCATGTATTTTGCAAGGAACCAAATGTGTCTCAAGTGTTTCTATCTATTTGATGCAACTTCAGAAATCAAATCTTAAATTCTTTTATCTTTTAAATGCAATTTTAAAATATTCGAATCTTAAGTAGTTCTCTCTTCAATACAACTTAAAAAATTAGATCTTAACCTCTTCTATCTTTCAAATGCAACTTTAAAAAATTTGAATCTTAAATTGTTTTATTTATCCAATGCAACTTCAGAAATCAAATCTTAAATTCGATAGTCATTTCACTAAACACAACCATCGTCGCGAACTGTAATCATCCTAGGTTTTAAAGCGATTTGTCAAACAATATTTACTCCCCATGTAAATTAAATTTTCTCTAATATTTTGTGAAAACATTTTTTTATTTATTATTTATTAATTAAACTTTGAGATAAGTATACTTTTTCTTTATTTATTACGTCCATGTATCAAAAAAATATTTTCACCGTTCAATTACCCTACCTCAATATCAAATTTGTCTAAGTCCTTGTTATGCTTAAAAAAAGGGTAGTTCAGTCCACTAAGTTCCCGTTATGCACGGGGTTCGGGGAAGGGCCGAACCACAAGGATTTATTGTATGCAACTTTACTCTACGCATTTTTGCAAGAGGCTATTTTCACGGCTCGAACCCGTGACCTTCTGATCACATGACAATAACTTTACCTGTTACGCCAAATCTCCACTTCTTTGTTGTGCTTAAAGAAAGCTTTATTAATGCATCATGTATGCATAATCATTCTGTCACATATGTATTGCAAAAGATAATCTTTCTAGTCCACGTGGCAGTAATATAACAAAGCAACAAAAGGGGGAAATTAGTACAAGGATACTACACTTGCTATTCCACTTCAAATATTTTGATAGATTCTCAAATTTATTCTGAAATATCTGATTTGGGTGAAGTTTGGTTTGAAGATAAAAATATGTTTGGACATCTGTTTTAGGTGAAGTTTAGTTTGGAAAAACATGAAACATGACTTATACTCACAAGTTCTAAAAATTATCACAAATACCCAACAGTACCATTATCAATAACATTCATTATATTATAGCAAACCATAGTCCTGAACATAAATAAATTTGATACAAAATTATCATTTTTATAATGAACTACATGATACACTATCAGATGACCGAGAAGACGAAGCAACAGCGTTATAAAATAATAAATGGTGGGCTCTTTTATAAAATATAAAAGTTTGGGGCAATTTTTAAAAAATATAATAGTGATATTTTGGCAAAAAACCAGCTATTGAGCTGGTTTTGGGATTTGAGATTTGGGATTTTGGAATTTAACCAAAATATAGGCAAAATCTATGGCCAAACATGTGTTTGCCAAATAAAACCCAAGTTTATTTTGGCAAAATCTATGACTAAACGGTCCTTAGTGTAGGCCATATTCTTGGCAAGACCGATAGCATAGAGAATCAGATAATGTAAGAAAGGTCTCCCAACCACTGCAGGTTCATATATTTCAGAGATATTTTGTGACAACTTCAATCTCATGGATGAGGATGAAATGAAATAACGAAGCAATTGATAGGCCAAAATATATTTATATTTGGACATAAATTTGGTTGAAACTTGAAAAAAAAAAATTAAAGTTGTGTTGAAAAATAATTTTTACAAGTTGAAGTTGTGTTTGGACATGCATTTTATTAAAAAAAAAAAGTTAAATTTTTGTGAATGAAAGAAAAAATTTCATCCAAAAATTGCCCTAAGCCAGTTTTTTGGAACTTGAAATTTTTTCAAAAACTAATCATATTTCATGAACGAACAACAACATACCCAGTATTATCCCACATTGTGGGGTCTGGGGAGGATAGTGTATACGCAAACCTTACCCCTACCTTGTGCATTTCATGAACGAACAATGTTTTTAAAAAAATTGAAAAAAAGTTACCAAAAATTTATGGCCAAACGGGAGCTTAGTTTCAAACCAAGATATCATTTTACAAAAACTGTGATTAAAGGAAAATTTATAACAGGGGCAAAGATGAAGTGCCATAATCATGTCCACTGCAAATAAGAACTAGAAAGTCATCCGAGGAAGTTTTACTACAATATATGAAAACAGCAAAGGCTCGTTGATATATAGTTGAATACATTTATTAGTTTCCTAAGATCTAAAAAGAATGGTTGTTTACACTTGACTTTACATGTTGATGGATGTACAGTTCATATTTTACAAGCTGATTTATACTTACTTCTTGGAGATATAGATTTTAAAGAGTCCCTATAATCTACTTGCAGGCTCCAGATATTGGAGAAATGTAGAAATATCAGAAGATGGCGCTCCACAAAGCATTCTCGCCTTCCCCACAACGGCTATGAACCTCCTTAATCCTCTCTACAGACTTGCAAATACCACTGCAGCTCCAATCAAAGGAAGCAACACAGATGTTGCCTGCTTGAGCTTTCAACTCACAATCTGTTAAAATATAGATAATCAAACAAGAGTAAACAACTCCACAACTTGGACCAAATAGGGTGATTAGGAGATTTATGAACAGAACTGAGGTCAGAGATATACTCAGAGAAGCAACTCAAGAATCCGCCAGATATGCTTATTGAAAAAAGCAAAGCTAAATCAGTAAATGTGATTTCTACAAACATATGTAATAAAGCAACATATTTGGAAGACTTTTGTATACAGTTTCAGTCATTTCTTAGCAGCAAGTGCACGCAACCATGTTCAGACATAATCCCAATGTCAACATTCAATATAATTCCACTTCCATATCAAGCGGAAAAAAAAGAAAAGAGGCATG